ATAGCAATTGATAAAATGACGTGTTCTTTCCAGTGATGTTTTACAGATTGCTGGAGTGTTTGTGAAAGATCGGCTGGTGATAAGCAGCTGATTTGTCGTTCTGATCGTGTGTGTGATTTGATCGTATCTTCATCGTCCACCAAATGTTGAAGCACCACCACACATAATTTTGAACTGAATAATGGTTTTATTCGTTGATAGGAGTATTGCCCTGAGAGATTGTGAGATTGTCCATTAAAGAAGAGTGTACATGAGAATTGACGCTCCTCTACACAAAGAACTGAGACAGAATGTAGACATACGAGCACGTTTATGGATTGAGGTTAGTAGTGATGAAATTGAGTGCTTTGAGACGTTCGTATTGGTGGTGGTTGTGAATAGAAAGGAGTGATAATTCCAATGTAGCTCTGTCGCACGTACGTCATAAAAGTGAATTCAAGTTTTTTTTGACTGAGAGCAGTTGTTTATGTCTGTATTTTTAATTGACCTGTATCACCTTTCATATGGCATTCCTGTTGATACATATTTTTAGCAGTACTTCCCCTTCTTGTTTTATTTTTGACGTTGTTATGTATTTGTTCTTGTGAGTCACATGTATTTCGGTGTAGAAGCTGTTAGTGGTTTTGATGTGTTTAATCAATGAAGTACATCGATGAGTGTTTGACTATCTTCTTTTCTTTATGGTGACAATTGAGTGGTGGAATAGCTGAGTGTCAGAGGATAGTTGGTAGTGAATAAGACAGGTTGAGATTGGACGACTGTCTGTGTCTGTTGACGATTGGAGATTGCCTTTGTTGACGTGTAGTAATGAGGAAGAAAGTTAAGTTGTATGGCTTATTATCTGTTGTGTGTATTGAGTTAATCTGAAATGAGATTATAAGCCATTCCACTGATTGTTAATTGAGCCAAAATGTACGTTTATGTTATTTATGTATAAGAAGAGTTTGATTTATCGGTTGGAACAGTCAGCTGAACAATCAATCAGTCAGTAGTTGATCACACTGTTCTTTCCCTACTGTATGTATGTGGTGGTTGCATGAGTGTTTGATGTAGTAGTATAGAGTAGTCACCAGTCAGTAGTAGTAGTCGAGTTTAACTCAGTACAGTTAGTTGATGAAGATTGTATAGATGAACGTGATATGAGAGAAAAACTGTCCAATAGTAGTCATGGTATTTCACTATTCTATCACTAGTTAGTAATGATGCAACTCGTGATTGTACCACGATTGCGTAATCAGTTGAAATGATTGTGATTCATTGTTGTGTGATGAAGCATGTTGGATGATATTCAAAGGCAGTAGTAGTAGTAGCAGCAGCCTACACAGTATCACATCCTTGTTCATGAATTCATTGGAGAATGACCATGTGTTGTTAGTTGTGCTTTTTTCATTGGTACGTTTTGTGCGTAGGAAATAAATAATATATATGTAGTTGATATTTTAGAAAAAAATCCTAATAAATGAATCGTTAGTTTTATATTGGGGAGGAAGTGTAGGCATGTGCTGTGTAATCTATGAATCATTCTGTATGTAAATGTAGTTAGTTATTGGTTGCATGTTTTCTGTTGTTATTGTTGTAATATTATGTGATTTTACTGGGGTTTTGGGTTTTTCATTGTTGTTGACACAACATTTTCTCTCGGCTAATTTGTTCACATCTATCTACTACGGTGAATTGAAAATCTCTCTCTCTCTCTATCCATATCATCACATCATGTGAGAAACGCCTATAAATAAATAAAAATCCCTTCACATACTCTTTTTTTTGTGAAGATCACTCGTGATGTGTTTTTCAATATTCTTCATTTCAATCGGGTTGTTTGTTTTTTTAATTTGACTACGGATTACACCGATTGTTTATTGTGTATCCAAAAAAAATAGTGTAACTAAAACAAAAAATTCATTTTGTTCAATCCTTTTTTTTGATTATTTATTTTTAGAATTAACTAAACAAGCATTTATGGATCATTTCAGTATGATGCATTCTCCTGCCTACGCTACAACAATCCAGTTGGAACTTGAACGTGAACATAATCGTCAGGCGGAATTATTAAAACATACACAATATTTAGAACAATCTATTGCAAAATTACATTCGGATGGAACTGATTTATTGAATCGATTTACTAAACGTGTATGTGTGTCTCTATTTGTATTATATATGTCTGTCTGTCTGTCTATATGTGTATATATACCGACATGCGAATGTTTCTGTCTAACAATGATATTCCACCATCTCATCGATAACGGATGATGAGCCGTGGAGGGGGGCTCCCGGCACACAGGTATCATCAGTGCTGATAGCCTTGGTGTCTGACGAAATCTCAGTACAGATACAGAAGAAGGCTTGATTAGCTTTTGCCAACTTGCATCATTTATAGCGTAGGCGAGATATTCGTCTGCTAAACAAAGGACGAGTCTACTGTCCTACTATATGGATGAGAAACATGGCCAGTGAGAGTAGAAGATATTCGTAGGTTACTGGTTTTCGATCATAGGTTTCTCCGAAGCATTGCTCATGTTGTATCTTGGGACAACTGAGTAGGCAATGCTATAGTTAGGAAACGATTACTAGGTAGGGATGGCAGATCAATAGATGAAGTATTGAAACTTCATCAGTTGAGGTGGTTGGGACATGTCTTGCGTATATCCAAATACCAACTACTGCCTCGACGAGCTATGTTTTGTGGTGTAGGAGTAGGTTGGAAGAAAGCTCGAGGTGGTCAAATCCTTGAAGTCACTGACAAGTGGACTGAGTTATGTCGGTAGTTGTCGACTACCTGGTTGAGGTCAGCGAGACGATAGTTAGAGACCCTGAGTGACATGGCTCGAAATCGTTTGCCATGGCGCAGGTTCATCCACTCTTCGTGTTCTCTCAAATGATAATCTTCCGGATTCTTCAATACCTTAATCTTTTTGCTTTTTAAGTTTATTTCATTAGATTCTACTTCGTGAATAATATCTTCTTCAAATCCTAATCTTCTCAATTACCGCTTATACTTCTATTATCTCAACAACTATGGGCTTTGAATTAACAATTGCTCCTCTGTGCTATAATGTGGTATGGCGACCTGAACTGATGTACGTACGTACGTGCAAAGTTCTACGTTCTGACTGACTGACTGACTGTCAGAGTTCTTTCTAGTGTGCAATCGTTGATGATCAGTGTATTTCGATCATATCAAATGGTGGTAGGCTGTTACTTGTTTTTTCTTGGATTTCTCTAATTTTATTTAGTTTAATTTAATTTTCTCTATTTGTTATGTAATGTTTTTGTTATCTATCATTGATTTTACATGAATATATATTATGTTATGTAATACTAATACTAATAATAATAATAATTCAAAGCAGAAAGAATCATTTTTCATCAAGATTATTAATATTTTATGTCTCCCTCCTACCTATCTATTTACCTGCCTAGTGTGACTATGATGTGTGTAGGCGTTATTCGGTTAATTAATTAATCATATTATATTAGCAGTTTATTATGTCGGGTTAGTGTTTTTGTTTCCTCACTCACTATCAACGTTTTGTATCGATAATTATATTCGGTATTATTTATCATGAGGCAAAACTAATCATTCCATTGTTTGTAAAAATTTCTGTTCTCTACTACTACGACTACTAATACTACTCACGCTGATACTACTATTACTAATACTACTTCTACTCACACTACTACTGTAGTGAATGAGAACACAGGTGGGGCAACCGAATTGTATTTAATGAAAATTACAGAGTTACTCAGTAAAATTGGAAAACCATATCGTAAATCGTTCATTTGCAAAATAACAGTTCATCATATCGAACTGGACTGTTCCTGTTGCAAAACATCAATCCATTGTC